AGTCCCTGATCGCCGCCATATGTCGGTGATCGCCGCCATTATTAGTATAAAAAAAAATCAAAAATCCAAGTATCTTTCCCGCCATTTGTAAACACTTTCACGAAAACCAATTAATTTACACGTATTGGTTTTTTTTTTTAGCAAAGACATGTCGCAGAATGCATTTTGGCAGAAATTTATGATGAAATTTGATTTTTACATTTGTTTTACTGGACATGTTTTATAGCAAAAGTCCAAAATATAGTTTTTTTTTCTCAAAATTGTCAACCATTTTTTTTTTATAGCGCAAAAAATAAAAAAACGCACAGGCGATCAAATACCACCAAAAGAAAGCTCTATTTGTGTGAAAAAAAGGACATAAATTTCATTTATGTACCGTATTGCATGACCGCGCAAATTGTCCATTAAACTAGCACAGCGATGTATAGCAGAAAAATGGCGTAAATTGCAGTATTTATACCATAGTTTGTAGACGCTATAACTTCCACACAAAGCAATCAATATACACTTATTGGGATTTTTTTACCAAAAACATGTAGCAGAATACATTTTGGCCTAAATTTATAACTAACTTTGAGTTTACTATATATTTTATATATATATATATAGCTGAAAGTAAAAAATATTGTTTTTCTTCAAAATGTTTGATCTTTTTTTGTTTATAGAGTGAAAAATAAAAAGCGCACAGGTGATCAAATACCACCAAAAGAAAGCTCTATTTATGTGAAAAAAAGGACGTAAATTTCGTTTGGGTGCAGCATTGCATGACCGTGCAATTATCAGTTGAATTAGTGCAGCGCCGAGTAGCAAAAAGAGGCCTGGTCATTAAGGGGGGGGGTAAATTCTCAGGAGGGCAAGTGGTTAAAAATATTCTTCCCAAATATATTGACATATATTTGAAATGCTGCAATTTTGGCCATATTCAATATATTTAAATAAATATATATACTGCATGTTGAAATGCATTTTTATTACAAAATATATGAAAAATATTTTTAAAAATACATTTCAAATATACTGTATGTCTTAAAAAATACAAATCTACGTTTTTGGAATGCATTTACAAATATATGTAAAAATATATGTTACAATTACTTTTTTATATATTAAAAAAAATCTGAAGAATATATATTTTTAAATAATATGTTTTTAAAAATATATTTTTTAAAAATATATTCTTCATATTTTTTTTAACATATAAAAAAAGTTATTTTAACACATATTTTGTACATTTTAATTAATTATTTTTTTTTTAATTAATTTTTTTAATATACACTTTTATGTTAAAATCATTTTAACATATATTTGTACATATATTCGTAAATGCATTTCAAAAACGTAGATTTGTATTTTTAAAGACATACAGTATATTTGAAATGCATTTTTAAAAATATTTTTCATATATTTTGTAATACAAATGCATTTCAACATGCAGGGTATATATATATATATATATATATATATATATTATATATATATTTTTTTTTTTTTTTTTTAATATATTGAATATGGCCAAAATTGTAGCATTTCAAATATATGTCAATATATTTGGGAAGAATATTTTTAAAATATATTTCAAATATATTTATCTTCCATGTGGGACCTTCTGCATGGAGTTTGCATGTTCTCCCTGTGCTTTCATGGTTTCCTATGATACTTAGCACCATCTAACGGCCAGGGACATGCTGATAGGTTCATTGTTCCTAATGTGTGTAAGAGGGGGAACCTAGATTGTAAGCTCCTTTAGGGCAGGGACTGATACGAATGTGCACTTAGTATAGCACTGTGTAAATTGTTGGCACTATAAAAGTACCTGAAATAAATAACATCACTTGCATTGCAATACTAGTCAAATCCCTTGGTGTGGAATGCAGTGCACTTCCATGAAATATTTAATTTGAAGGATGTGTGTTGTCCATGATGTGTCCTGTGTTCCGGGGATTATTCTGATCCTGTCATTTCATCTGTCCTTTTATTTCCACAAGGATTTTCTGCTGCTTCTCCAGTAGCAGTGTGTAAATCCCCGAATACTCATTGTCAGGGCTGTGCAGATTATTAAATGTGTGGCGGGTGGAACCTTCACACTTCTTATTGGTAAACAATGATACAATGTGAAGCTTGGCTCCTTCTCCCTCTTCAATCAATCTCATTACACACAGCTTCTCTACAGCCATGCAAAGAATCAAACAACACTGTAAGGATGCTTAGTGAGAGAAATATAGAGCTGCCACTGCCGACTTCATAAAAAGACCAACTGCCTGGCTATGTTTTAAACCTTCTTTCTTTCATTTTCAGGGGTCATTTTTCTTTTTTTATTTTGTGCACATATACTAAAATTCGTATTTTTAACACAAAAATACATTTAGAGGTGTATCTGTAAAACCACTGCAATTCTCCCAGTGAAAGGGCATCTACATTGGTTCTATGCAAAAGGGACAAAATGTGAATGTTATTAGGCTATTTCCTGTAATGTTCAAATGTGTTTTATTGATTTAAAATGGAATATACTGCAGTTGGCCACTAGATGGCATTAAGTGTAATAGGAATTTCTTATGATACTCTGAGCCACCTAGTGGCCAAATGCGTTATTTTTTCATTTTAAACCAATGAAAACATTTGGCAAGTATAGGAAATAACCCAATAACATTTTTTGTCTCATTTCCATAGAACAAATGTACATATACTTTCAATATGTGTATTGCTCTGCAAATTTTTTACATGCTCCCATAAACGTTATATTTTTTCTGAAAGCAGATGACCCAAAGATTTAAAAAAAAAATGCCAGTTGGAATTTTTTATGGCACGCAAGATTCGCTAAACTGTTTACCAATTCCATATTTGCAGGTAGAAAATACAGTAACATTTTTTTAAATTTTGCTGTCTGTGTCCCATTGGGGAAATTTCCCCCTCACTTTCTGTCTTGCATGCACAACAGGAAGGCAGAGGAAATTTCTCCAAATTTAAGAGGAAATTAGTTGTTACCAAAACAGGTTTTCACATTGGAAAATTTCTCCTTGAAGGGTAAAATTCCCAGTGACAACATTCACCAAGATGAATAACAGGGTGAATCTCCCCAGCGGGAAGACAGCGATGAAAACCTGACAGGTGTACCTACCCTTACCCAATCTATCCAAAACTTTAATCTGAAGTTTGAGCTTTAGAAACACTTTCATAGGAAACTATTGTTTCAGCGAGAACACGCTGTGATTTATCTTTGTAACATTTTCCTGGAAATCATTTTGGATGGGACGTTGACATTTTTCCATGAAAGCCGTTTCATAATTTGACAGCTGTATTCCATTTTCACCACTTTGCAGACGAGAAAATTTTTTAACATTTTTTCTCACACACATGTTAAAATCAGCATTTGCTAGAAATTTACTTAGAACCCCCAAAGAATTCTATGGATTGTGAAAGCGGAGACCCTGGAGAATAAAACATTTATGTTGCATAATAATTGTGCAGGTTTTTATCAAACACATATTTTCAGGAAAAATACACTAAAAAGAATTTTAGCGCACATAAATATAATATAATACTCATTTTTTAAAATAAACTATAAAAGGTGAGGTTGCGTCAGGAGTAGGTAGATACCAAACATGTCATACCTCAAGATTGCGCATGTCCATCAAATGGCAAAAAACCCACAAAACACAAAATTGTTGTCAATTTAGATACATTATCGCCCAAAATGATTTCTCTCACTCTGACCCTCAAGGCGATGCCACACATGTGTGCCGCAATTGCTGTTTACATATATGTGCCCGCCCTATGCTCATGTTCCAATATACATGCACAGTGTGATAGGGATGCTTTTCATTAAAAAAAAAGATTTTATTTATTTTTGTTTTTTCATTTAGCTTTATTTCTTTCCAGTGGCATAACTAGAACCTTCAGGGCCCTTGTGCAAGAAACAATGAAGGGTCCCCCTGACCCTTGGATGGGGGCCCTTCCCTCCAAGCCTGATGGTGGAACACCAGGTCCTGGTCACAAGTGCAACCTTTGTTACCCTGGTAGTTCTGTTATTGGTGTCACTGCTGCAGGGGCGGACTGACAACGCATGTGGTCCCTGTGCAATAGAGGATCATGGGGCCCCTATGTCCTTGCCCACACTCAAAAAAGCCTATAAAAAAGGTACCAGGGGCATTTCATGGGGCCCCCTACTGACCCGGGGCCCTCGGGCAGTGCCCGAGTGCTCGAATGGTCAGTCCGCCCCTGCACTGCTGTCAGTAGTTGTTTTTTTTTACAAGTTTTGTAAAAATAGTTTAGGAGCACCGTTGGGGGTCTTTGGTGAAATATCAGGAGTTTAACTGCTAGCCTACAGGGCACTTATACCCCCTTCCTGCCCAATTTCCAGCTTTCAGTGCTGTCACACTTTGAATGACAATTACGCGGTCATGCGACACTGTATCCATATGAAATTTTTTATAATTTTTTTGAGACAGATAGAGCTTTCTTTTGGTGGTATTTAATCACCTCTGGGTTTTTTTTTTTTTTAAACAAACCAAAAACCACTGAAAATTTTGAAAAAAAAGTTTTTTCTTAGTTTTGTTATACAATTTTGTAAATAAGTGATTTTTCTCCTTCACTGATGTGCGCTAATGAGGCTGCACTGATGGGCACTGATAGGCTGCACTGATGGACACTGATAGGTGGCACTGATGGGCACTGATGAGGAGGCACTGGTAGGTGGCACTGTTGGGCATTAACAGGCATCACTGATTGGCACTGAAAGGCAGCACTGATACATGACACTGATACATGGCACTGATAGGCGGCACTGACTGGCACTGATAGGCGGCACTGACTGGCACTGATAGGCGGCACTGACTGGCACTGATAGGCGGCACTGACTGGCACTGATAGGCGGCACTGATAGGCGGCACTGATGCACACTGATAGGCAACACTGACTGGCACTGATAGGTGGCACTGATTGGCATTGATAGGTGGCACTGACTGGTACTGATGGGTGACATTGAAAGGCAGCTCAGATGGGCATTGATATGTGGCATTGATGTGCACTGGTATGCACTGATATGTGGCATTGATGTGCACTGGTATGCACTGATATGTGGCATTGATGTGGCACTGATGGGCACTGGCACGTGGCACTGATGAGCACTGACTGCTGACACTGATGGACACTGACAGGTGGCACTTCTGGGGCACACTGATCATCAGGGCACACTGATCATCAATGCCCTGATGATCAGTGTACATGTCCCCTCCGTGGAAAGCCGATTACCAGCTCTCCTCTCCTCCCGAGCTGTCAGCATGACAGCTCGAGAGGAGAGAAATGCCGTTAACTGGCATTTCCGTGTTTACATGTGATCAGCTGTGATTGGACACAGCTGATCATATGATCGAGCTGACATTTTCCGCTCTTTCCATGATCCGCTGTGTCGTCCGAGGGACACAGCGCACCGGCGATCACCGCGCTGCACGCTCCCTGAGCCACGCATGCGCGGTGAGAATGGAAGGACGTCATATGACGTCCTATCAAAATGAGAGAACCACCTTGTGCCCGTCATTATACTATCTGGCGGGCGGAAGGTGGCTAAACAGACCTCTGATATTCCACCTTTGAGACAGAGAAAGGAGACTGAGGACACAGCCCTCAATCTCCATCTCTGCAGCCTCAGCTACACTGAATGAATGGACAGGAATACACTGCTCCAAAAAATTAAAGGACACTTTTTAATCAGAGTATAGCATCAAGTCAATTAAACTCCTGGGACATTGATCTGGTCAGTTAAGTAGCAGAGGGGGTTGTTAATCAGTTTCAGCTGCTTTAGTGTTAATGAAACTAACAACAGGTGCACTAGATGGGCAACAATGAGACAACCCCCAAAACAGGAATGGTTTTACAGGTGGAAGCCACTGACATTTTTTTTCCCTACTCATCTTTTCTGACTGTTTTTCACTAGTTTTGCATTTGGCTAGGGTCAGTGTCACTACTGGTAGCATGAGGCCATACCTGGACCCTACAGAGGTTGCACAGGCAGTCCAACTCCTCCAGGATGGAACATCAATACGTGCCATTGCCAGAAGGTTTGCTGTGTCTTCCAGCACAGTCTCAAGAGCATGAAGGAGATTCCAGGAGACAGGCAGTTACTCTAGGAGAGCTGGACAGGGCCGTAGAAGGTCTTTAACCCATCAGCGGGACCGATATCTGCTTCTTTGTGCAAGGAGGAACAGGATGAGCACTGCCAGAGCCCTACAAAATGACCTCCAGCAGGCCACTGGTGTGAATGTCTCTGATCAAACAATCAGAAACAGACTTCATGAGGGTGGCCTGAGGGCCCGATATCCTCTAGTGGGCCCTGTGCTCACTGCCCGGCACCATAGAGCTCAATTGGCATTTGCCATTGAACACCAGAATTGGCAGGTCCGCCACTGGCACCCTGTGCTTTTCACAGATGAGAGCAGGTTCACCCTGAGCACATGTGACGGACATGAAAGGGTCTGGAGAAGCCATGGAGAATGTTATGCTGCTTGTAACATCGTTCTGCATGACCGTTTTGGTGGTGGGTCAGTGATAGTCTGGGAAGGCATATCCATGGAGGGATGCACAGACCTCTACAGGCTAAAAAATGGCACCCTGACTGCCATTAGGTATCGGGATGAAATCCTTGGACCCATTGTCAGACCCTACACTGGTGCAGTGGGTCCTGGGTTCCTCCTGGTGCACGACAATGCCCGGCCTCATGTGGTGAGAGTGTGCAGGCAGTTCCAGGAGGATGAAGGAATTGATACCATTGAATGGCACCCACACTCGCCTGACCTAAATCCAATAGAACACCTCTGGGATATCATGTTTCGGTCCATCTGACGCCACCAGGTTGCGCCTCAGACTGTCCAGTAGCTCAGTGATGCCCTGGTCCAGATCTGCGAGGAAATACCCCAGGACATTATCTGTCATCTCATTAGGAGCATGCCCCCGTGTTGTCAGGCATGCATACAAGCACGTGGGGGCCATAAAAACTACTGAGCACCATTTTGAGTCACTGCATTGAAATTTCAGCAAAATGGACTAGCCTGCTGAATCATTTTTTCACTTTGATATTTGGGGTGTCTTTGATGGAAATGAAAATCATCAACCTACAGAGGACTGCATTCAAACGATGGAGCATTCTTATGTTCCTAACACATTACCCAATCCATGTCAGTATAGATATCCAGCATGAGATTTTTCCCCATTGAGATCTGATGTGATTTCAAAGTGTTCCTTTCATGTTTTGGAGCAGTGTAGCTTTAGTCCCAAACTGATGCATAGTAAACACAGTTATGAATGGACAGTCAGTGATCGATACACACATTTACTGGCCCCTTACCTGCTCTACATCCTGACAGATCCCATGCAGCAGCCAGCAGGAGAGGAGATGGGGCAACCGGCAGAGCTGCAGGGGATGAGGGGGGCCAAGAGAGAGCACAGGGAGGCCGGGGAAGAGCTCAGGGGTGCTGGAGAGCACACAGGGGGCAGCAGAAAAATGCTGAATACGTGGTGCGGTGGGGACGGTTACATAAAGAGGAATCAATCTCTCCCTGTTACTTCTGTAGGCGCTGAATGCCGGCTTCTCCCCCTCTCCCTCGTGCAAGCATGGCTGCAGAAGGGAGATGGAGATATCTCAATATGCAACAGCCTCCACCACTCCTACTATCCCGGCATACAGGGGGGGGGGCTGCACCGCTCCTCCTGAAGCATGGAGCCGGGTTGCAATTGTGACCCCTGTAGAATCGGCTCTGAGGAAGAGGTATAGCTTCGAAACGCGTCAACCATTAAGAGGTCTACAGTCCCCCAGACATCTTTCAGGGAGATTGGACCATGCTGTATTTCTTGTGACATGCTTTTGATTTTATTCCTTTGTGACTTTTTATCAATACATTTCTATTTTAAAAGGTAATGCACTAGGCCCGTGCGCCCTCTTTTTGTTCCTTTCCATACCCTGTAGGTAATCCCCTGTTTCTTTCACACGGAGGCGAAAAGGCCCCTATGTGATAGTATAGATAGGTGACAGGTTCTCTTCATAAAGACATCAGGGATCTACTGGGTGGTTCTTCTCAGCCAATCACCAGCTGAAAAAAATGATCCCAGGCTGATCACTGCAGCTGCAAGTTTGTTTTAAACACTTGGACATTTTAAGACAGCCTAGGGACAGCAAGTGGTTTTTGAATAGGACATTCTAATGGGAACTGCTGCAAGGCCGCTGCACCCCCCAAGGGCCATTAGTAACCCATGAAAGCTCCCACTTATTTTATAATCTGTTTTGTAGATTATGCAGTAATTATTGGATTTTACATTACATAATGAAGGTGAATTAATGAATGATTTTTTAATCGGATCTCATGTCCCATAAGATAATGAATACAGTGTCACAATGTTAATTCAGGAGAAGAGTTGAGATTTAATTATTGCTTTCAAATGTCATTAGATAGAGCCGCTAAATCAGCGACTGCCATTCTGATACATCTGCTTCATAGAAACCGACAGCTATGATTACACCAAAGTATTTAAAGCCCAACTCTGACATATTTTATTTTTTAAAGGTCCCCAGCTGCTTTCCAAACAAAAAAAGCAGCTGCAAAACTTACCTCCTCTCTGGCACTGCCCCCTGCAGTAGCTATCTCTGCCACAAGATGTCCTTAGATTTTCAGATTAAATGACCCCCAGCATCTTTCAACCCTAAAGAATGAGGACATCTTGTGGCAGAGAGGTTCTGTAGGGGGCAGTGCCACAACGTTCCTTCCAGTTGACTGACCCCCAGCATCATTCAACCCTAAAGAATGAGGACATCTTGTGGCAGAGAGGTTCTGTAGGGGGCAGTGCCACAAAGTTCCTTCCAGTTGACTGACCCCCAGCATCATTCAACCCTAAAGAATGAGAACATCTTGTGGCAGAGAGGTTCTGTAGGGGGCAGTGCCACAAAGTTCCTTCCAGTTGACTGACCCCCAGCATCATTCAACCCTAACAAATGAGGACATCTTGTAGCAGAGAGGTTCTGTAGGGGGCAGTGCCACAAAGTTCCTTCCAGTTGACTGACACCCAGCATCATTCAACCCTAAAGAATGAGGACATCTTGTGGCAGAGAGGTTCTGTAGGGGGCAGTGCCACAAAGTTCCTTCCAGCTGACTGACCCCCCAGCATCATTCAACCCTTAAGAATGCACACATACTGTGAGTGTAGGGTGTCATGGACCTTCTCCCTGAGGTGGCTTTACCACAACACTTTTCACCTACAATAATGAGGATTGATGTTGCCATCATGTGAGCTTCACTCTCTGCATCATAGAAGGCCATCCAGCCAGGGGCATATTTACCACAAGACAAACAAGGCATTTGCATAGGGCGGCATTTTTCAGGGGGGTAGCACCTCCCCCTGGAAGAAGGGACGGAAGAAGGGACACATGCAGCTTGTGGACCAGATGGGATGTGAGAGAGGCTGCATGCTACTTGACTCTCATTCCTGGGGCTGTCCATAGCTGTGAAGTTGAATGTCTCTCTCTCTCTCTCTCTCTCTCTCTCTCTCTTGCTGGGAGGGGAGTGGCCAGTTTATGGAGATGATGGTAGTTGAAGGCTCTCTCAGGTGGGGGGCAGGGGTGTTGTTGGTCAATGTCAGGCTCTCTCCAGGGGGGGGGCAGGCAAATTTTGTGTTTCCTAGGGCAGCATAAAACCTAAATACACCGCTGCACCCAGCACTGGAGAAGACTGAGAGGAAGAGAGCCCGAGGTTAATATATACAGTACACTTCAATGAAAGGAACACTTTGAAAACGAATCAGGTCTCAATGGGGAAAAATCTCCTGCTGGATGTCTATACTGATATGGACGGGGTAACGGATATTGGGATGGTCATTTCTGGAGCACACCCCTTTTGAGAAAGAACTGTAGTTCGAAACACGTCAAGGGAGGAGCCCTGTACGCCCAGACATTATACCGCCAGATCACGGAGGTCCGGCGGTCATCACCTGGTACCAGCTGGTCAGTGTTATATCGAGCAATTTTATGCAATACTTATTGTCCATTACATGAACCATAGTGTATGTTTTATCTTTTGACTTTTTTAATTTATACCATTAAAGTATCCGTGATTTGAAATACCAATCTATGGGTATTCCCCTTTATTGTGCTCTGCACCCAGCACTTTAACATCCCAGCTATCCCCTAATCACCATCCCAATATCCGTAAGAGGGTGACCCACGCATCTCTTTAAAGAGAACCCCGGTCGACCGCCTTTTCCTGTGATTAAAGGGAGAGCTGACTACCCCCAGGCTGTATCCAGACCTGCTCTTTGAAGGGACACCAGGCAAAGCATCTATATGTGATACAACGCGCTTATTTTAAGCGCATCTGGTGAGTGCGCACTTTATCCATTTCCTGTACCACCTGTGAATATCAAGTTTATTGGGAGTAATGCAGGCCATAGATGGGGAGAAAACCGGCCGATTTTTCTTTAAAAAAATGAAAAATCGG